GTAGGGAAAAAAAAGAGTGTAAAAATACAGAAATGCAAAAATTATCCATCCTAATTCTTGAGCATCTCTGTGCATAAAGCTTTTAAAATTTATATGGAATTCTGAATTACTTCCTTAGGCTAGACTTAGTGTTATCCCAGGGCCAGAGAATGCACTGATAAATGTTTTTGAGACTCATGATACAGCACACCCATTTACACTTCCGAAAGCAGACAGGAGGGGATGCCCGTTTTACCTCAATCTCATCTTCATTTGTAACCCTTATTTAAAAAAAAAAAAAAATCACTGCCATTCTGCTAGATGAAAAATGGTCCAGTACAGACTCAATTCATTCTGGAATGAACCGACAGGAAATTCTACAAGGACCATCTGGTTATAATCAAATAACCAGTGAGTGTTACGGTGCCCACTAGGGGGAGCCAAAGTGCACTCTGGTCCTTGGCCCTAGAGGTGATCAGGTGGTCAGCTGTGCCTGAAGCAGGTCAGACCTCCTCTCCTGGTCTGACCTGGAGGGCAGGGTTGGGAGAAGACGACGGGGTAGAAGGGTCCAGGGGAAAGCAGGTCTTCTCATTTCCAACACGGGCCTTTCAGAAGGTGTCAGGATTGAAAACATGAGATGCTGCCAGTGGCACTCTGATGAACCTGAGGCCACAGGAGAAACCTGGAAGCCTTCAGAGAAGGGGCTGAAGCTGCAGAGACCATGCTAGGGATGGTCCTGCAGGGTTTATAAAAGTGGATACCTGTTCCTTAAAATGCCCCCTAATGGTCCCCCTTTCCCCCAACCTCAAACAGGGCATCGAAAGCATTGATCAGATTGCCCGCCTGTGCCAGTCTGACCTGGAGGCCGTGCGAGTGGCAGCCCGGGAAACCACGCTGTCGTTTGGTAAAGTACAGCATCCAGCGTTTCAGAGTGCAGTGGGGTTGCTGGGGCCCGTAGAAAGGTTGTGCCAGAGAGGCCACAGCCAGTTCTCAGATGACGCAAAATAGCACACGGGACGGGCACCATTAGCAACCTGTTTGACTGCATTTGGCCAAGGCAGGTTTCCTTTATGGCTGAGGTGGCCGTTTACGACCCTTGGGAATGAAAGCCAGATGCAAGGCAGGATTAAGGTTCAGCGGGCTCTGTCTTGGACAAAGGGACAAGGCCCTGGGGTCCACGTGAGCCAGTCCCAAAGGCTCCCCACCCCCTGCCCTCTACAGCAGCACCGGAGGCCTAGGCGTCTGGAAGTACTAAGGCCACCTTGGCTCACCAGTGTAGAAAAGAGCGAGGTGGGGAGACAACCCAGTGACAGATGACCTTAATATTTCAGGTGAAAAAGGACGCTTAGCTTTTGAGAAGATGGACAAACTTTGCTCAGAACAAAGAGACGAAGCCTTTGGCCAGGAGGCAGATGTTGAAATCACAATATTTTAAAAAGCCTCAGCTAATAAGCCCAAATCCGGCACCTTTGTTTTTGCTGCTGCCCGGCCTTGACACAGGGAGGGCTTCGGGTGGAGGTACATGGTGCGCTCTCCCAAGAACGTGAACTGGCCGGAGCTGCTCCCAGACTCTGGGCCAGTTACGAAGCCCCAGGGCACAAGTGGGACTTCTGTACGGGAGCAGAACAAGGGGCTGCACGGCACTTACAGGGCTGCACTTCAGTCAGTCAGCCTTTGGCTTTGAGAATCTGCCTGACCTTCCCCGGGGGGCAGAGCCAGGTCAGTGCCAGCCAGCCACGAAGGGGCCGAGGCCAGGCAGGCGGAGGCCTGGAATCAGCAGGTCAGCTGGCTCAGCACTTCTGGTTCACTAAAGACTGGGACCGAGGAGGCGCGCAGACCCTGCTGAGGACAGAACTCGGGTCGTTCCCACAGCAGCAGGTGTCACTGTGGGGAGGGCAGAGCCAGGGTTTCGACGGTTCGCCCCCTCAGCCCGAGCTGCAGCCCAAGCACCACAGGGGAGCCGGCTGGCGGCCTGCTGACTGTGGGCCTTATTTTCACTGTGGTTCAACAGCACAAAGGAAACAAGAACATGCCGTGGGCCGAGAAGTCTTGCGTGCCATTTGCTTTGACCTCACTCATCAGAATGGAATCCATTTTCTGAAGCAAGTCAACTTAGGGCTTACTAAATAAATTGCTTCAGAAGCCAGAAGCTAGTTTGAAGAAAGATTTTACTGAACATCATGTTTAAAGAAGGAAAATTAATTTCCTATTTAAGTCTATTAAAAAACGCAGACGTGTCCTGGGCTGTTTCTGGGTTAAGCATGTAGAGGTACCCTGGGGTCTGGACGTGGTATCAACAATGGCCTCGGAAAGCTCTGTAACTTAAACATGCTCATTTACATTTCCTGTATATATTCTGTGCTTTTCGGTTTAACTCAGTATTTATTTGCCTTGTCCATATGTTGTTTTCTGAAATTTCAATTAAAATAACTTTTTATTGGTGTTCCACTCTACCTGAAAAAAGTGGAGGGCAGTGGTTGTTTTCTGGAATATCCTGAGGGAAGAAGACAGCCCTGCTGTCCCTCAGTGCTCTCTTTCCAACGTGACACAGACGCAGGGGTAGAGGAGGGCGGCCTCTCCATGTGCTCTCGGAGGCTCCCGGAGTCCCCTCTCCTTACAGACACCAGGCGGCGTGGCCCTTCTCTGGCCTTGGGCCCTATCTGACTTCTACTTAGTTACAAATTTAGTAATTTTTTTCCACATTGGCATTCCTCCTCTTCATGAAAGCTTAGATATCCTTTTTTTCTTTTTTTTGTATCTGAAAATGATTGAGGTGACGACAGTGGGTGTGACACCACCACCCAGGTCCCCACTGTCCTGGCTGGGTGTTGTGTGGTCACATGACCACAGACGTTGTTTCTGGGTTCCGTGGATCTTGCTGAGAGGCCACAGCATAGACAGTTTACTCAGCAGGCAGCTTTGAAAGAGTCATAAAACCTTGAAGGATATAAGGGAATTCTTTGTAGTACTCTTCTGCAACATTGTGCAAGCCTGAAATTATTTCAGAACAAGAAGTTGAAAAATCACCTTAGGGGAGACTTACATTTAATTTTGTACAGGAAAGGAAGACTACACACAGTGTTTATACTTCACTGTTACCGCTCAGTGTTAGTCTCCACTGATGTGTCAGTTCCACATCAAATGTGACTCGGCAGAGGTGCTGAGACATGGCCACCGTTGTGTCTTACAGGCAGCCCGCTAAGGGACACACGTTCTTGAGGTCTGAGCAGTTCTTCAAACAACCGTTATAAATTCATTAAGTTATCCAAGGGCTCTAACACTTGAAAAGGTGAGTTTAGTTGTTGTTGCTGAAATGGGTTGAGGCCTGAAGCGCTGAGTAAACACCAGGCAGGGAAAGTGCCTCCAGCCCAGAGGCACCCACGACTCCAGGAGGCCGCCGTCGTAATCCTCAGATGTGGAAAAACTATAACCCCTCTTGACTAACATCTGCTTCACATCAGCAGGGATGGAAAGAAACAGGAGTTGCCCAGCCTGGTTTAGGCCTATTAAGCAAAGAAATGGGAAGCACCCCAAAGCCATGTTCTTTAGAAAAAACTTTTTATTGTTCCAACTAAAATGCAAACCCATCATTTATATGGCAAGTTGGAAAACTGTACAGTTTGACAGTTCTGTGAGGTCACAGAAGACCCTGAGACGCGCCCCCCGCCCCCCCATCATGCATCCACGTATACACACACCTGAAAAGGTATCATACCAAAACACCTCGCTTTTTTTGTTTGTTTTTATTTTTGTAAAAATGGTTTATTCTATGGCCGTCGTAAAAAATAACGACCTGATGAGTAAATATTGGCTTAAGGCATAGAGCAGAGCAGCTCGCCACTTCTCTAACATACGTGTGACAAGATGGAGAACCATCTGTTTTCCAAGGATAGGCAGTTAAACCAGTATATCCATTTTGAAATGCTACTATATATACACGCCAAACTACTACATACATATACAGGACTTAAAATAACAGACAAACAAGCCCAACTCAAAAACGCTTACAGCCTGGCACCTCAGTCTTATCCACACCTCACCAAGGCTCTGCGGGGCGATGCCTCAAATGTTCCCACCACAGAATTTCTCTGCACGAGCTTCTAACACGTGAAAGGCAAAATGTGAAAATGCTGGCAAAAGAGCAGCCCGTGAGCTATAGCTGCCTTTTTTTTTTTCTTGTTAAAAAAGCCACTTAACGTGGAGGTCTTAAGTTCCCCTCGCAGGAAGAGTCGTGAGCACCATCAGTCCCCAGGGTTCAAGGGCAGGGCAGACGCCTTCTCTCAGCAAGGCCCCCAGACCTGAAGGGCCACAGGCTGGCTTGAAGGGACCGTCGTCCAGGCTGTTTCAAGAAGTGTGGTTTCCAACAGTTGCCTTGGTTCCAGATCACGGTCCGCTCAAGAAGAGTGTGAACTTGGCACAGTGGAGGCTGATCCCAAAGGTGTGTGTGTCGTGGGGGACCCTGCTTGTCTAAAGGTCCAGAGCGCGAGGTGTGACTATGGCTTCCCGTACCCTTGGAATGTCTGAGTTACAGTGGGGCCCAGCTGGACCAGGACATGCTGGGCCTCACTAGGAAGTCACCAGAGTGTCATGCCAGGAATTAGGCAAATATCTGTTACTGGACATCGCTCCGCTGCCGAATGGCAATTATTTCAGCAACGGTCTTAGGAACCAGAGCCACGTAATGCTCAGCTCATGCAAAGGTAGACTGGACTTGTACACGGAGCGCATCAGTAAGCAGAGATCTAAGGATTTCAAGCACGTGGTATTTGATCGGGACACAAGAAGACCGTACATGCATTCTAATACACACAGGGAGAGTGGTGACTGAGACTGAGGTTCGAGCAGACAACTGGGGAGGGGAGGAACCGGGACAAAGTAATCTCACGCCATGTGTCTTAAATAGCCAAGTGTTCATTATATATTATCCCCTTGTTCTATAAACACAGGCAAACCTCTTCTCGTGTTACCCAATGAAATCACGACTGCTTACAACCGTCCTCCTTCCTAGTACTGGTCTGACGCAGCAGGCTCACAGCAAAGTCCTCCATTCCCAGCGCCACCTGAGGGTTTATTATTGTACTTTTTGATCAAGCCCTTGGTGCAAGGCTGACATCAAAAAACGTTAATACATTATTGGTTTATGAAGATGCTAGTGCACTGTGGATGCCTTCAGGAGAAAAGAATTAAAAAATAAATATGGAGTGGAGAGGCCCACTACATGCCGTCTCCAGGGAGGGCCGCGGGAAGGATGTCGCTTGCCGCCTGCCAGGGACGCGGCAAGGGGGCACCACGCGAGGCTCGCCCCTCCACCCGCACAGGCCGTCTTGCTCTGCGCCACCAGCCCAGCGCCCTCTGTGCCCTCCTCAAAAAATGGGTTGTGGGTCTGGTATTCAGGGGAAGGCGAGGGGGAGAAAAGTAGCAGGATGGAGGTGAGGCCAACCGCCCGGGGAGGGGGCTTTAGTGCGGAACCGGCGTCCGTCGGGGCGCGGAGGGCTACGCTGTCCGACGGCCCTCGGCGCCGTTCTATGGGCAGGGGCGGACCATGGGTGGAGGCGGGTCAGATTGTGTGTGGCTGTCAAGCAGGAACTAGGATGAAACCAAACGCTTTCAGAGGAGCCCGGCCCTGCCCCCGCAGAGCTGCGGACTCGTGCAACATCTCGGCCACGTGGGCCACTCCAGCCCCCGTGAAGGGGGTTTTGGTTATTATTATTATTATTATTTTTTACAACAGCTCCCCCTTCCCAAAATCACCCCCGAGGAGAAAGCTGTCTGCACGTTGCTAAACCATCGGATGCACTCAAAGGTGGTTGCTTAGAAAGAGGTAAAATATTTAAAATCATTAAAAGAAAAAACAGAAGTCTCGTGAGGTGATTTCCACGACCAGAGATCTGAGGCTAATCCTCACTCTGCTCCGTAACTTTAACGGCAACACATTCTAACGTATGGATTTCTACTGAAATGGCATTTATATTCCAAGCAAAGTGGAAACTGTTCCTTCTGGATCTCAATGGCTGGGTGAAAAGCCGGTGGCCACCCTGTGGTGACCTCTGACCCTGAGGCAGGGGCCCTGAGGAAGCCTGTTTATGGGGATGGAGCAATGCGGGCAGGACGTGCGCAAGACGGCTGTAACGAGAGGGGGCCGGTGAAGGAGCGGACAACGGGAAGCCAGCGGGACACCCTGAGCAAAAGCAGAAGCCGGGTTCTGTTCTCTAGAGACGACCTTTTGTTGTTTTTCTTTTTAAAACGGGAAAGCTCGCAGGCACTGTCCCAGCTCAGTGCGTGCTCAGCAGAGGAAGCGCCTGAGCGAGACGATGTCCGAAACCCTCAAACCCTCTCCTCCAAAGGACTTTACATTCGCAAAAGTGTGCGAGTCTTTGCCTGGGAAATCAAATAAAAATTGTGTATCTGGTTACACCACCTAAGGGTACAAGAAAGTTTCGTAAGTGCCTAGTCTTTTTTTTTTTTCCCAGAAATAACAAAAAGCTGCTTTTTATAAAGGTTAAAAACAACAATGTGTTGTAATTCTATTACTTTTTTTTCAAAAACAAATGAACAAACAAAAAAAGAAAAAAAAGAGAGAGAGAGAGACGTATTTGGCATTTTGTCTACTTACTCCTGAATAGGTTAAGGCCCTGAGATTAGACTCTTCTATTCTTGGGACCACAGGGCTCCTTAAGACCCCGGTGCATCAATCCTCAATTCTCTCTCGTTAGCCCTTCACAGTCCCAGACTTTGAAAACCTTTGACCTGTTTCTTCTGAGGCTGGCTCAGAGGCTCCTGCAGCACTGAGCGCTACCGCCGGGCTGGCGGCCAGGGCTTGCTGTACACGCGGTCTGGCCAGCACGTCCGTCAGTGAAAACATACCCTGTAGCAGAGGTACGCGCCGGCTGTGAGGACCGTGGCCACGCACACGTTGACCAGGAAGGGCTTCCAGTGAGTCGGCGCCTGGTCCTGCTCCTCCTTGGGTGGCGATGGCTCCCCCTGGGCAGGACCTGCCCCCGCGACCCGCCTCCTGACTTCAGTGTCTTGACTCGCACTGAGGAATGAGGGGGGCAGAGGCGGGTTACTCACTCAGGAAAACAATGGCAAGGATGCTATTACTCCCGGAGGAATTCTAGGAAAAAAATGAGCCACGTGGAAGCAGAGCCTGCTGATGTTGACACTGGCCGGAGGCCCGCCTGTCACCGCCTCCCTCCCGGGGCCCGACAGCAGGGCCAGGGTGGGGTTCCGGAGACCCGCGGACTCCTTGGTGACGGGGCTGGGTGAGGGCCTGAGGGGCAGTACAGCCCCTGGGACCGCTTGGAGAATGTTCCCCTTCAGATCAGGGAAGGTAACAGTGCGGCCACAGGCTTCCACTCCCTCCCTGGGGCCTGACAGACGCGGACACACAGAGGCCTTTGTTGCTGCTGACATGCGGACACCACACATCTGCAGTGCTGACCCTCTGCCCTCCCCGCTGCACGCCCAGCCAGTTCTGCCAGCAGGCCCACTTCCCAGGTGTCCCGTGTGCAGTCAGTTGACTACCTTGCTGGGGGCGAGCCAGAGCCACCCTGTAGGGCTGTCCCAGGAGAGGCCAGCAGAGGCTGTGGGCCTGGGTGCAGCCAGACCCTGCCTCTCCCCTCCCCACCTCTCCCAGGTCGTTGCCCTCCCACCCTTGCGTCCATCGAGGCGGCCCTGGCCACAGGAAGTCCTGCCTCCCACATGCCTCTCCACGGCCCTGCTGCCCCAGCAGCCTCCCGCGTGACTGGCAGGACCATCCGGGGGCACCGCCTCCCCAGGAGATAGGAGGAGGCTGCATGAAGCACCCTTCTTGGTGCCCACCCGGTGAGGCCCCAGCCGCAGGGCCGAGGCCTGTGTGCACGTGGGCTCGCCGCCCTCCCCGGTGCCCAGAGGCGCATAGGTTCTTGGTCCCACACCATTCTTTTCCTGGAATTCTCTGGCTTTCAGCTTCCCACTCCACACTTCCCTGCTCACCACCTTCACCCACAGAATGTGAAAGACACCTTTCTCTCCACTGTCTTCATGAATAAAGAAACAGGACCAATGACACAAATTTGACCCAAGTCACGTGCCAGTTCCCAGCCCTCTCATCCTCGGCCCTCGGCGAGCGAGCCCTCAGAGGGAGCACGCCAGCCCACCCTGAGAGTCAACAGAGGCCCTGGGAACCGGGGCACAGTTGTACTTGTTCAGCACCTGCTCTGGGAGGCCCCGCTGGACAAGTGTCTCTTGAGCCCCAGAACCAGACCCGGTGTTCCTGTGATGAGGGCCAGTTGCACAAAAGGCCCTGGGGAGTAGGTTCATGGGCCAGGACTGGGACCTGGACACCAGCATTTAGCAAAGTGCCTGGGGAAGATTTTGATGATCAGTTTAGCCAGAGGCCCCGGTGGAGCACACACTGTGTGTGACCTGCTTTCTCATGCATGACCGTTCCAGTGTCCGGCCGTAACAATACACCCTGATCCCATTCTTTAATAGCTGCAGAACATCCAACACAGGAGAAAGCATGACTTATCTAATCCCTGGATATGCAATCAGCTCATCTCTAGCTTTTCACCATTACAAACAATGCCGCCACGAACACCCCTACCTGTACATCTCTGCACACCTTCTTGAGAACTCCTGCTGGCTGAGTTTCTAGGTGTAGACAAACGTGGGGTCAAAGTGTGCACTAATCTTAAACTGCCCTCCAAAAATGCAGGCACCAAGGGCACTGCCTCCACGGTCTCAGGCTCGGGCTAACCCCCGTTCATCCTTCAAGCTTGTGCACGATGCCACCTCCTGCTGGCAGCCTTCCTTGACCACCCAGGGAAGGTTGGGTGTCTCCTCTCTTAAGGCTGACCCCCTCAGCGTGCACCTCCATCACATCCCTGTCCACGGGCCACCACCACAATCTACTGCTCCCTTGCCAGTAAGATGGTCTAGAACACAGACCAGGGGCCCCAGTCTAGTTACCTTGGGGTTTCACGTGCATCAGTAGGTGCTCAGTAATCTTTGTCAAACTGTAAGGAAGCAAAACGGCAATCAACTCAATCAAGACCACATGAAAAGGGGGACTTCCCTGGTGGTCCAGTGGTAAAGAATCTGCCTTACAATGCAGGGGATGCGGGTTCGATCCCTGGTGAGGCAACTAAGATCCGACATGCTGTGGGGCACCTAAGCCCACACGCCACAACTACTGAGCTCACGCACCTCTAGAGCCCGCGTGCCCTGGAGCCTGTGCGCCAGAACTAGAGAAGGGAAAACCCGCACGCCACAACTAGAGAGAAGCCCACACCTCTCAACGAGGATCCCGCGTGCCACAACTAAGACCCAACGCAGCCAAAAATAAACAAACAAACAATAAACAAATCTTAAAAAAAAGACTACGTGAAAAGGTTAAGTACCCCCAAACCATTCTGGGGGCTGAAGGTACGTGGTCAAGCCTGGATATAGGTTTCAGGACCGGCCTGAAGTCCAGGGCAGGCTTCTGTCTTCTGTCGCTGTCATCACTGGGCTGGAAGACCTGACTCAGTCGCACCAGACCCCTGATTCCAACAAGCACCACCAGGTGGTGCTAGATCCCCGCTAAAGTCAGTCACTTCCGCGGGCCAACCTGTGGCTCAGTCAGAGGCTCCTCCAGCTGGTGGAGGAGCAGGAACGGTCCAGGGGCCCGTTCCTCAAGGACACAGAAGCACCGTTTGCCAAGAGGAGGCTGGGTCCACAGGGTTTCAATATCAATATGTATTTCTGGAACAGAAGGCCATTTCCCCTCGCCCCCAGTAAACCAGGACCCTCTCACATTACCTTTCCAGGCTGCAGGGGGCGTTTAAGAGGGTTCTGGTTTCTTCCTTGACGGCGCCGTCTTCTTTAACCTCCTCAGTCTCAGCTGTCACCCACTGGTGGTTTGCGAAGAACTCCTTGCACTTCCCATTGTGTGGCTCCAGGATTCGTTTGGGAGGCCGGGGAGGTGGGGGGATGTGCTCGGGTGGAGGCTCCAGGTCCTCGTGGGAGAGCTCTTTCCATTGTTCCTTGAAAAAGCAGCAAGAGGAAGTCCCATGAGATTTCACGTTTGGCTGATCTGTCAGGAAACCTGCTCGCCTTTAAGTGAGCAGAGGTGAGGGCTAGGTGAGGGGCCCTCTCAGCTTCTCGGGTCTCCAGCCATGTCCTTGGAAAATGAGATCTTATGAAAATAAAGTCTATTCTCCCTATTAATGATCTCTATGTGAGCACTTCAAAGGCAGAAATTGGAACATGGTGAAACCTTCCACAACTTTTTAGCTATTTAAACACGAAGCCTAGCTATTTCCTCTGACCCAGGATACTGTTTCAACGTTTACAATGAACAGCCTCCTTCTTTACAGGCAAAAATTTAAAACCAACACACCTGGATTAAAGCAAAAGCACTGCTGACCTGTACTGAAGAGTCTCCCATGATGAACTTGGCGCCTTCGATCACAGCCAGGTAGGAGAAACGGAGCTGGTCTGCTGTCTGGATCAGTCCCATCCGAAATTTCCGCATTTCTAACAGAACTTTCTTGATATCAACAGAAGAAGGGTCTTTCCTTTTATCCATCTGAAAGCCAGAGAGGAGACACAGCTCAGTGAGGTCCGAGCCTCAAGTACAATGTGACTGTATATGTCCTGGAGCATGCCAGTTCCTACTCAGGAAAAGTCATAGCGAGGAAGGCAGAATTCTAGAAAATGTGGCAAAATTGGGACCATTTGAGCACAGGGGCAAAACGAGAGGGAAGGGGATTCTCTGGATCTTCCTGGCTTCCACATTAAAATTAAGGGCCTCCCTTCAAACGAAGCTATTTAGGGTAAAGCTCCTTTCATGGGAAGGAAGCTGTTAAAAAGTGAAGATCAAAGCTAGTTTATTGCAGAGACAGTTAACAGAGAAGCTGTGGCTGGGCCAGACTGGAGGTTAAAATGTGCTCCCTTCTCTTCTCGGGGTATTTAAGGGCCTTCTTACCAGCAAGAGGCAGGTGTCAGCCAGACAGAAGGTCCCCGACCTGCCGATGCCAGCGCTGCAGTGCACCACAATGGGGCCGTACTCCATGCTGAGCGACCCCGACTCGCGGACTTTGAAAAGAAAGTTCAGAAACGAGGCTGGAGATTCAGGGACTCCAAAGTCAGGCCACGTGGTATAATGGAAATGTAAGATCTCTCGAGTTTCTTGAGACTGGAAGAGAAATATAGTCATGACGATTCTAAGAGAATCACCTGTACAGAAATCATTAATTCCAAGTAAGCATGAAGTGCCTTTCCACCCACCTAACTCCAAGAGTAGCCTTAATTCTCAGATTTTTCTCCCCGGGTCCACAAACCCAGTGAACAATATCAAGCCCCGAGTGGACCCCAGGTTGCTCCTGCTTCAACTGCCCCCCCTTTAGGATGGAACAGTCTTGCCCACAAGAGCCCTTGTCTCCAATGTTCCTCTCACTTCTGCCGTCTTCATGGTTACAACCGATTTCTATCCGTCCCACAAGTCAAAATGATGCTTCGCTGCCACCCACAGCAATCTTGTCATCAAAGGCCTCGGGGTTTCACATGAAAGAGTGGAAATGTAACAGCACATGTGGGGCATCAGCTCTGGGAAACTCGGAGCTTTCCTTACAGGACTATCTGGATGCCTCAGAGGATTGTCATTTTACAGAAAAAAGTTACCAACTCAGTCTCCAAGGACAGGAGGCTGCCGCGTGTGGCTCAATATCCAGCTGAACAGATGGTCCACGACGAGGAGGGGGAGGCTGACAAGACCAGCTGCACTGGCCCCACAAGTGGAGCGCTTACCGTGTCCCAGTGTGGGCACGAGAGCTCACTGGGTTCTCACAGCAATCCCTCGAGGCACGTAGTCCCGTTACTCCCGTTTTCCAGATTAGAAGACTGAGGCTTGGCAGCTGCTCCCTTAAGTGGGGGAGCAGGAGTTTAAATCTAAGCTTGCTTGACTCCACAGCCCGCTGCAGGAACTCTTGAAAGGAGGACCCTGGCCCTTGTCTCCTAGCCCAATCTGCTCGCTGTGGAACAGAAAGAACGGCCTCTGGTGCTGTTTGCAGCTCCGCTCCTTCCTCTGAGCCTCTGAGACTCCACTCCCAGGGTGGACAACTGGTCGCCGGGAGCAATGATCAAAATGTAGTTCTTGCTGAGGAGAGCACCCAAGATTATACTAAGGTAAGAGCCCACAGTAATGGGAGCCAGTCACAGGGGAAGTAAGGCCTGCAACAGGAACCACCCCAGCTGCGCAGCGCAAAGGGCCAAGCCAGTGCCTAGGTCACCTGGACAGCAGCTGATGGTGAAACACTTTGGGCCCAAGACCCGCTGACTGACAATGTCTCCCTTCGTTTGGCAAATGTCCATAACGTGCCTCCCGTGTGCCCGGCACGATGAGGTAATGACCCCGCGCCCTGCCCTCCCAACGCTCACAGCTTAGTTACAGCAACCTTCCCTGACCCTAGTGTGATGAAAACGTGTGAAAAGGACCCACAAAAACAGCAAGGACCTAACATCAGCAGAGAACACACACGTGTCGCCCTGCACCAGCTATTACACACACTGGTATCTTTCTGCAGAACTGGAAAAACTCTGCTTATGACATTACGGTAACTTATAGAACCACAGCAAACAATTCCATACTTTCCTCCCTAGGAAATGATCTCCTTCTATCCTTTAATGGCTTAAAAGAGAAATGTGTCTTCTATTTTTTTTGGAACAGAAAAGCACTTAAAAATAGATTTTTTAAAAAATGGAATAAGAAGGGCTTCCCTGGTGGCGCAGTGGTTGAGAGTCCGCCTGCCAATGCAGGGGGCGCGGGTTCGTGCCCCAGTCCGGGAAGATCCCGCATGCCGCAGAGCAGCTGGGCCCGTGAGCCATGGCCACGGAGCCTGCGCGCCCGGAGCCTGTGCACCGCAATGGGAGAGGCCGCATCAGTGAGAGGCCCGCATACCGCAAAAAAAAAAAAAAAAAAAAAGGAA